GGGAAGCTGATTATAAGCTAAGAACTGCACTTCAAAGTCAGCAAAGTGATTTCCTAACAGAGAGCATGAAAGTACTGCAATGATTGTAAAAAATGTTGACAAAAAGTTCCTATTAAGGATAAGCCTGCACTGAGTTTGGGAGTAGAATAGGAGACACAGAAGGTATTTTCCAGTCCCAGCTGGCCTGGTTGAGTTGCCTACTCAGTCCCTTGTACTTGCCTCTGACATTGATATAGAAAATGCCTACTAGGATATTGTATATCCATCCACGAGAAATCTGAGTTTAAATAAGCACTTTCTTTGACATGTGTTACTATGCAATTATGAAGTGGCAACTTCTTTAGACCACTGACACTGATCTGGTGATAGGCCTTAAATTTTATTGGCAAAACAAAACAAGAGGAAAGTTCTGATTAAAAAGAGGAAAATTAACAGTAAATGGCTTTATGACACAGTTCCCTTAGTGATAACCCAAATCCCCTAAGTTCAAATTTCATTTTAACATCTTTAGTTTGTTAATATTTATTGAACTCAAATTCCAGATAAAAGGCTGGAACAACATTTAAAAAAGAAAAGCAAAAACCCCTGATAGCCCCTCTTCCCTTGACTTATAATCCTTACTCAGTGTTTCTGGGTCATCCAGAGAGACCAAAGACAGACAGGAAACTTGGACATTCCTGATATTTTGAAGGTAAAACTGGGCCAGGAAAAAATATTTTCTTTAAACAACATCAAGCAAGATGAAGAGGATGAACCCTTATTTCCCCTTCTGCTTAGATTACTATTAAACCAGATAGGAATGATTATATTCTTCCTATGGAAAAGATTGTTAGGTTATATTTCTTCCCCCTATATTGATTCTTTTTAATAAATCCAACAGAAAAAAATATAGCTGACAAAAATGTTTTCATTTACATCAGAGAAAACTATCAATGATTACCAGGTGGTTTTTGATATTGTAGTAATAGGAAACCCTGATTAATGCAGTAAAATTGAATGTTGATATTCATGGAATTTGCCATCCTGAGCCAAGGCAATAAGCATGTCATGTCATAACTTTAAAGTATTGCTTTTTTTCTCCTTTAATTGGATGAGATCGACTCAACATATTTTGTACAGTAAGAAGGCCAGACCCACATGCAGCCAAGCTATCCAAAATGACAAACGCCCATCACTGAACTTAAGCAGGCAGCCAAAAAGACGGGATGCAGCACTACTGTGGGTGTGAGGATATACCACTATTTATTGAAATCTACAGCAACAAGCCAGGCAGGATGGGGCTGGGAGCGTTCCAGACAGAAGCAGTTCTGGGAAGGAGAGAGAAAACAGCTTTATGGAATAAAACAGTTCCCTTTGTTCTCCAGAGTGCCCGATTTAGTGACTGATTCTGTGATTCTTTTCATTGTCATGCAGCAGTGAGAGAAAGGAAAAATGTGTGCATTTACACCGTGACAATCCCTTACTCTCACAAAAGGCATCATTGGCTTAAAAAGAAAAGAAAAAGGCCATGAACGGCCTTAGATTTAAGGCCGGAAGAGCCCATGCAGCAAGCTGCTTTGAAGCTCACAGCCCTGGCAGACATGAGACTTAAAATACGATTAACCAGTTAATCACATCTTAGTAACCTGGCCACACGTTCATGCAATGAATGGCGCAGTAAAACAGGGGATATGTCACTAAGTTATTATACATATTTTGTGTAATAACCTTGTGGCTGGTTCCCACCATGCCTTAAACTGAGTGTGTGGCTAGGCTGATCAACAGATCAGGGCTCTCAGACTTGGGGGGGACACTGGAACCCTTGATTCCAATGTGCTCCCGCAGCTGGAAGCGCCAATCAGCTGACTGCTGCTCCCAGCCTCATCATCCCAGACTCCTGCTGCACCAGCCTTTTGAGGTGCCATGAAATGCACATAGCACTCGTAATTCCATTTGGCAGAAAAAAGTGGGGCAGTGCCATGCTCCAGGCTCTGCACGTCTGGATTGCCACCGCTGAAGTGCAGGTAGAGTCATCACTCTGCCGAATCTCAACTACCCTAGTTGGCAAGATATGGGTGTGGGGAGGGACACACAATAAATACTCTGTAAAAGCTGGTGGCACTCTGGCAGCATAGACAGGAAGCCCTGGGAACAATCCTTGTTGGGACTCCTGCCACAATCAGTCACCTTCTGCTTGGTTTCCTACAGCAAAGAAATAATGCAGCTCCTAGTGTCTGTGGACTGACAACGTTTCCTTTTCTTGCCAACTAGGGACCACATCCCAATTCCAAAGTAGCCAATGGAAAGACTCTTTTAAAGTTAGTAGACTTTTGATTACATCCCAGATTGATGTATAATGATGAAGATAGTGGACAGTCTTTTAAAGTGGTAGGAGTGCTTAGTGCAACAGAAACCACAACTCAAAAGAGAAAAACAAACAAGAAAAAAGTCATGAAAATTGCCATGAGTTACAAACAACATCTGGCTAATATCGTCTAGCTATCAGATGCTAGTAATACATTTAAAAAGTCTAGTCTAAGGAGGAAAGTCCAGTTTAAAGACTCAAGTTTTAAAAATTGGTGTAAATTATTCTGAGGCTTAGCCACATGTGCACATGGATAGAAGGGGGCAACCTAAAGAAATGTGCTGTGTCCCAGTTTCTGTTTAGGCATCTCCCATGCTGATAGGGATCGCAGAGCACAGATGAGAGTTAAGCAGTAAGATGCCTGGTCCGGTCACTTCTGAGCATGCATAGTTGCCCAAGTCTTGGTTCTCAAGGCCAAAAGTAGGGTGTCCTTAATGACTCTAGGCCAGTGGTTTTCAACCTCTGGTCTGCAGACCCCTGGGGGTCAACAGATTATGTCTCTAAGGGGTCTGCAAAAAATAATTGTGATCAATCAAAAGCATGTGAATAGCCACACTTACAATTCAAAGGGGTCTGTACCTCCATTCTAAATTTTTTAAGGGTCTGCAAATGAAAAAAATGTTGAAAACCACTGTTCTAGGCACTTAAGTAGTTTTCAGACTGCCAATCAGTCAATTTATATTGATTTTTGTGGCTTAGGTGTCTAAACAGAACTTAAGTGGAATCTAGACTTCTACAGAATTGATTTGGATCTGGTCCTGTCAGCAAAAGAAGTGCCAAGGATACAGGCTCTGGAAGGAAATCGTGCATTTTGGAAAGAAAGCAAGAGCAGAAAGAGGGGGTGGTGAAAGACATTCACAGTGCAGGGCAATGAGCCTCTTAAAGACTTCACCATACCAGACATGAGTCACAGAGGAGGAAGAAAAGGGAGGGCTTTAAAGACCACCATTTGTGGTGGCTTTGGCAACACACACTGACTCACTATTTTCTCTCCTAGGATAGACTTTCAGATTCTGGCACCTCATTCTCATGATAAATATTCCAACACGAACAGGAAGAGACACAACAGCAACTAGTAGACAGTAAAAGTAGAAAATGGTACATATAAGATATTTTTATGGCATTTTTAGGATTGTAATCTTGTGGTGCCCTTATTACTAGTCTAAACCAATTCAACTACTACTATCCATATCTTTTTGTTTTTGTTATAATAATGTATTTTTTCTGAGCATGTCTCAGAAGTACCTCCTAGTTTTCCTCTATTTGGCACATACCAGCAAGTTGCTTACAAGGAACCTCATGACTGTAGGCCAATTCCTGAAATATATAATCAGTTGCAAATGTTTTGGGGTGGATGACTGATGAATGCAGTAACTTTATCACTTCTCCCATTTTTTACCATTAGCAAATTTTAGAAATTTCAAGAAAGGCACCACACTTCCCCTTTTTTAGACAAACTTTTGAAAATGATCAAAACAGCTGCTCAACACATTGACTTGTCTGTTCCTACTCACAGTAAATACAGTAGTGGAATTAAACTTTCACATGGCCTGAAGTGGCAAAATCCAAAATATGGTGATAATTTCCAACGTAATAAAACCTAATGTTAAAATATATTTACTCCGTCTTTTATCCCTTGAAAAGCACTTTCCTCTTTCCTGAGTTCTAATACCAACTTCTTCCCATCATGTTGCATTATGTTTCAGCAATTGCTACAGATTCACTGAAAGATAAAATGCTCTCCCCCCCGTCATTAATTGTGTTTATATCCAGTTTGAACATATGCTATTTCCTTCAGTTAGATGCTGCTTTCTGGTTTCCAGCTTGTTTATTATTGTAATGTTAAAGTTTTCCCATTCAGGTTATCACCTATTAGTAGGCTGACCATATAGAAATCCTGGAAATCTGACACATCATCTGGGAAATCTGGGACCTGCACTCCCCGTTCTACTCTCACAAGTTGGTGGGGGCAGGGCCAGAAAGATAACAGTGCCTGCCTGCCTGCCTGCAAGGTGCTCCATGCCTCTCTGACTCTCAGCCAGGCTGCTTCTTGCGCCCCTGCATTTCCAGGATATCCATTATAATTCCCAACAGCCAGCTGGGACCAGCCTCTGAAATCTGGGACTGTCTTGGCTAAAACGGGACATATGGTTGGTCACCTTTCCTATTAGTTATATGAATAAAAGAACATCCAGAGATAATAAGCATTTAAAGAGTTTGGGATGGGACATGAAGCTTGTATTTCTTGGCATGAGCCAAGCGTTAACTAATATGAATGGCTATTCCATAAATTACTTGTATAAAGGTCTCGTGAACCGTCTTTGGAATCATCTGTTGTTGGACACTGCTGAAGACAGAAAGGTCTAGATGGATCACGGATCTAACCCAACATAGCAGGCCTGTGAGGAATCGTTTAACAAGGGAGGCCAAACATACTCACTTATAAGGCTTCTAAAGAATGTTTCTTGTATTCATTGTAAATGAGGGGGGAAATGTAGATAACTCTGAAGGACAAGTATATATGGTCGTGTCAATGGCTTGGCCAACTTTGTTTTGGGACACAGTTTCCATGGGAAGGGGGAAAAAAACCCTAACAGAACACCTGCATGAGTCATTTATTAGGGAACTAGCCCTCTATTTATTAAAAAAGGCTCACCTTAAGTTTGGCCTCAAAACCTTGAAGTTTCTCATCCATTCACATTTCAGCACCAAATCCATCTTTCTCATTTTACATTTCAAACCACTTTTACCACTTTAGATTTTTTTTCTTAAGATATTGAAAACTTAGGTTTTATTTTCAAAATGATTGAATTCACTAGTGTAAAAGGCAGGTCTCATGCACATAACCTTTTCTTCTGTTGCCTGTGCTGCTTGTCCCCGAAGTCTCATTCTAATGGTGTGTTGGGTATTTAAAGCTCCAAGAACAAAAAGAGAACTTCCTGCGCACAGCAGTATAAGGCACCCTTCATCCACATGAACCACAATAGGCTTTACGAACCTTCTCAGGGCTGCTACATCCCCTGGGCTACACATGGCTATGCACAGAAAAACCCAGCTGGAAATCAGGAGATCTGTGTACTGTACTAGTTTTGATTCTCTACTGATCCATGGGGCAACCTTGTGCATGTCACTTTACCTTTCTCTGTCTCTGCTGCTTTTCCTACCATTCTCTTTCACACCACATGTATTTAGGGTTCAAGGTGTTTAAGGTAAGGACTGTCCTTTTACAGTGCCTTACTTCAGTGTCTAGTACAATCAAGCCCTGATTCTGTTTCGGGCCTTTACGCATTCAAAACTGAAGGTCTGCCAGCACCTAAATGTCCACTGAACGAACATGTTTGCAAGACACACCACTTTTCAGAGCACACAAGGGAATCTGAATGACCAGATACCAATTTACATCTGGGTCAATTGCCTTCAGCAGGAGTCCAGAGTAGGGACAGAACCCATGCCCTATAATAAGATCCCTTAACCATTCTGCCACCATGTCCTTCCCCCTCCACCAGGAAAGCATCTAAACTCTGGAGCTGGCTGAATTCTGCAATAGGCTTTTCTACAAATAGCTGCTTTGGGACAGCAGTAGATGCAACTGTCTTCTGCCTCTTTTGTTAGGACTTGGATGAAAATTCATTAATAAACAGCTAATTTCTAACTCTTAAAGTGAACCATTGAGAGTTTACACCAGCTGAAGATCTGCTCTGTGTTAACATGTTCACTCTGTGCATGGGATGTTTTGGATGGGATAGGGTACTGCTTACACAGTGGGGAAACAGGAATTTTCAAAACCCTTTACCAGAGCTCTAGCTCAGAGACAATTAAATGTTCTGGACAATGCTATGACTGCACTTTCATTTGTGTAAAAATCCCACAGTTTCCAGAAACCTGATAAAATGCATCTCTACCTGCAGTGTATAAATCTTGACTTTTTTTTTTTAATTATTGCTTCAAGGGAATATGTACATGAACCTTTCCCTTCCAAAAAGATCTTTTAAAAATCCCTCAATTCAGTTTATTTGCTGTTTCTTGGAGACTAAAACTTCTTACCAAGAAAGCAAGTCTCAGAGGCTTCAAGCCCTCTTTCCAGATTAATTACAAAAAGTGCACTTGTTCAGTTGGGCAATAAACAAAATCATGTACTTTTGAACCAAGTCAAAACACTTAGTGCTCAAGTCATGAACACTGTGTATTGAAACCCCATAGCAAACTCTTCAAACGAAATGTGCGCAGTAAAAACATTTGTATAGCATATTTAAAAAATATGTGAAGTTATTTCAATTTGTGAGTGGCTGTTTAAGTACTGAGGAGAAGGTTAAGTGCCATGCATATTTCATCAAGAATTATTAGCTTTGCTCTAAGAAAATAAATAAAGATGAGTATAGCATTGCATGTCTTACAGTGTGCTCAGAAACATCCAAATGCCTTCTTTCCTGCAGCGTATTGTAGTGAAAGAAGTTACTGTAGACATGGCCCCCCCAAAAAGGGAAGTCATAGAAAAAGACACATATCTACAGTCAGCAACATACAAAAGGCATGGTTTCCAGGAGTCCACATCAAGGTCCCATTCATTGCATATATCAGGGCTACCCCTCCATCACTGTTTCGGTTCTTGGCAGATGTTGTTTGAGAGAGAGTCACTCAAGTAAAATGACTGAAACTGTATTCTGCTTTGTAATGAGGCTGTTGCCAGCTCTAGAGAGACAAGGATTACTGTGCAGACAGTATATTAACATTTTGCTGGGCTTTTAAATAGTGCTCGCTCACCTCAGTTCAGATACCCCCAATATGTGAGTATTAAAGAACCCAAGTAGATTATAGGCGTACGTTACACTGGTTTAGGTATCACTTGTATGCTTCCATTCCAGGATAGCCATTAGCTAAAAGCAAACAAGTTATCACCTCCTCTCCCACCACTTAGTTGAAAGGCTCAGTAATAGCCTAATAGTAATTGCTACAGTATGCAGTTACCCCAGGATAGCCACTTGTCTGTCCATTCCTGACCACAGTGTAAATTATACTGGTGACCAATGGAATGTAAATTATACTCAAGTGTGCAACTGTCTATACCTTGAGAGCATGGCCAGACAATAAAGAAAGCTATTTCTTTTTCGTCTTTTAACCTTTTATTTTCCACAACCCCATTCAGAAACTTTCCTTCCTATATCTGTAGACCCAGCTCCCAGCACGTGCCCTTTCTCGTTTTCTTTGGGGTTCAGAACGTCTACCAAGCAATAGCCAGGAGTGGATCCAGGGGGGGGGGGGGGGGGGGGGACCGCCCCCCCCCCAGCCTTTGTGGATCGGAGCACACCGTGGGAACATATGGGGACTTTTTAGGTCCCTGAAGTGGGTGCAACTCTCTCCTCCCTTCCCCTTGGGGCTCAAAGGCACGTCCCCTCCTGCACTGGCTACTTCTGCTTTCCCTGGTGTTCAAGGGGTGGAAGAAGCTCCAGAGCCACTTCTGCCCAGTCCAGCCAAGCAGCATGGGGGATGGACTCAATTGGGGACAAGGACAGCAGCAAGAGCATGGTGGGAGAAGTCTTTCCACCTCCTTGCACAGTCCCCTGAGAACAGGCATGGTGAGGGGGAACCCTCCACCCACCCACCCACCCAGCCCACTACTGCTGTTCAGTCCCCGTTCCCAGCCCCCGTGCAGCCCAGCTGTGGCAGGTACCTCTGCAACTTCCCCTATCCCCTGGGACAGAGAGAAAGCCTCAGTGGGCATGGGGGAGGAGGCTGGGAGCAAGGAGGTGTAGGCATCCCAGCAATATGGGTTCTGCACCCAGAACCTCTCTTTGAGAAATCCTGGATCTGCCCCTGGCAATAACTAACAACTCCTGTTCCTGAGCTCCAAAGGGAAAGACATAATTTCAGTCTTGTCTCTCATACCATGGAAGATACTTTATAGTAGAGATGGCTGGAATTTTCTTTAACTGTAGGAAAAACACAAATATTTTTTTTATTGAATTCAGAAACACATTGAAGTATCCATTTTTTAACAAACAAACCATTCTTCCACAGGAATGGAACTGGTTTTGAGTTGTTCAGTGAGAAACTGAGAGGTTTTCAGTTCTCCATTCTAGTTTCTGAGCTTTTTTAACAATTACAATTAGGGATGCACCAACAGAGATTTTTGGGGCCAGTACCGATGGTTGATTTTTAAAGAGCCACATTGGCTGATACTGATCCGATTCTGATATGCAGCCCTGCATCCTGGAGAGCAGCATCTGGCTGGTAAGTCTGTTGTGGGGGAAGGGGTGGGGGAAGGGAAGAGGGGATAGATTTCATAGACATTAGGGCTGGAAGGGACCTCGGAAGATCGAGTCCAGCCCCCTGCCTGAAGGGCAGGAAGTCAGCTGGGATCATAGGATCCCAGCAAGATAAGCATCCAATATACTCTTGAAGGTGTTCACTGTTGGTGCTTGAACCACCTCCGATGGCAGGCTGTTCCAGACCTTGGGGGCTCGGACAGTAAAGAAATTCTTCTTTATGTCCAGCCTGAAACGGTCTTGCAGGAGTTTATAACCATTCGACCTCGTCATCCCTTGGGGCGCTCTGGTGAACAAACGTTCCCCCAGATACTGATGGTCACCCCTGATAAACTTATAGGTGGCCACCAGATCACTCCTGAGCCTGCACTTTTCCAGGCTAAAGAGCCTCATAGATCTCAGCCTGTCGTCGTAAGGTCTGTTTTCCTGACCTCTGATCATGCGCATGGCTCTTCTCTGGACTCTCTCAAGCTTCTCCACATCCTTTTTGAATTGTGGGGCCCAAAACTGGATGCAGTACTCCAGCTGCGGCCTCACCAAGGCCGAGTACAAGGGGAGAATGACGTCCCGGGATTTGCTTGAGAAGCATCTATAGATGCAAGCCAGCGTTTTGGTTGTTTTACTAGCTGCAGCATCGTATTGCAGGCTCATGTTTATCTTGTGGTCAATGATGACCCCCAAGTCTCTTTCTTCCGTAGTACTAGCCAGCATAGCACTGCCGAGCCTATAGGGATGCTGCAGATTTTTACTCCCAAGGCGGAGAACCTTGCATTTTTCAGTGTTAAACACCATCAGGTTCTCGTCCGCCCATTTGCTGAGCCTGTCCAGTCAGCCT